AGACATATAAAATGATCTGTGTATCACATGTATAATGTCAAGAATACCGATGCTGTAGAAAAGGTGTGCACCACATGTTGACAACACGGTTGTCATACTTCAGGGTGGTACTTTCCTGCAGTCGCGATTGACCGCGGAACTAGGTCAGCCATGCTTTATTGAGGGAAGGGACCTGGGTGCCCTTAACGTGCCCTGAGCGTTTCCTAGAACAGGCTTCCACGATATTGTTGGACGGTTCTCAAGATGTTGAACCTCCTTTCGGTTGCTACGAAAAGAAACCAACTTTTGGGAGGCTTTGTATTGTGGGAAACCGGTCGGTGATTTGCTTTCCTTTGGCTTTCCAGGGGGTCCAATTCCAATCTTTGGACCCCATGCAAACGCGCCCACGGACCACGGAGTGGGCCGGGCTTAAAACGAGCTCATGCATCAAGCATCCTTTTATGAGAGTCTCCGAATTCGGACTGCAGATTTTGCATTTGGTCTTGGAGTTATGAACGAAGGCGTGACCGCGTTTCAAAGGCATTGGAAAACATGGACCGCAGATGAGGGTAGTGGCCGCTCAGCCTGACAACTTGTAAGCACGTGCGTCGGAGACCCGGTTTTTGGCAAGGTGTTTTGGGCAGTTTCATGTGTAGCACCAACCCAACGTTTTAACATCGTTTAGCCTTTCAATCAAAAGGGCCACGAATTGGTTTCGTCAACTTGCTGGTGCTCAGCAGGGGATGTGGGAAGGGCTCCTCTTCAACGAAACCACCAGTTGGATGGTTGACAGGGGTCATTCCAATTCTCATCCCCTGAAAACCAGCAAAAATAGATGGGGGCCCAGAAACTTCTTTAAACCAAAATCTTTTGGGGAGGATAGTTGGATGGTTTATTGTTCATTCCATTTCTCATTGCCACCAAAGAATAGCAGGGGGCCTAGACATTTCATTAAACCACTGCCCAATCGTGGAGGTCTTGGTGTTCTCGGAACGAGGTACGACCCCGGCGCCCACGACGAGGGGTTCCTTGGCGGCTTCTTCGCCGCGCTGAGCAGCGGGCAGATCAATGCCCCGCGGCCAAAGGTTTTCGTTGGATGACCCTAAAAATGGCTGGGGTAAACTTAGGATACATTTAACAGTTTACCAGTGACTCAAAGTGAAGCAAACAACAACATTACATTCCATAACTGGGCCTAACTCTAATCATGATGGGTGTGTCTTTGTTTTAGAGGACCCCTCAAAAAGGCCGGTTGTCTTGTGGGTTTCCCTAAACCAACCTTAGGGGTAATTAACGTACCCTCAAACAAAGTCACACCCAATTGCAATCTGACAAAATGGCTTCCTTTTGGATGCTACACACACACACACCATCATCCATTGTTGCAGGGGGGTCCACCTGTTTGTGAGTCCTTTAAATGCGACGCTTGATTTGGGCAACATATGCTTGAACAACCTGTCCCTGGTACTTTCCAAAGAGAAGCCAACAGTCCAAGGAGCTTGTTGGGGCTGGTGGTAAAGGTTCCAGGAGCTTGCTGTGCTTGTTTGGGGGCTGAAAGGCAGGTTGTTGAAACAATTGTTCTGCGTACCCTTTTCGGGGGTCACCCATTTGTTGCGATACACCTGTTTAATGACACATACCCATTGCGTGCTAGATAGCTCACAATGTTTCACTCACCCTTTGTCCAACAACCAAAAATCACGGAAGCTAACAGAACGGCTTTGGACACAAAACAGTCCTCTTAGCAAGCTCCTCTGTCTATGTCCAATATCATTAGTGGAAAGCAGGTAGCCAAAAGGCTCGATCAAAAAGCTTTGGGATGGGTCTTTTGTTTTTTTTCTCCGGACCCGACTGAGCACCGACAGAAAGGTAGGCCGCTTCGCTTTCCCCTTGGGCAAACGACGTCCCCCTGAACGTAAAGAACCCTCTCGTCGAAAGGCTGGCGAGTAGATAGTAGCGGACCAGCAAGTTTCTGGAGTTCATCCTCGCTTTGGGGACGGGACATGAACCTTGGGGAGTTTTGTCCAGCGACAGCTCTATGCTCATACTCTTTTCTGCTGTGGCGAAGACGGGGAAAGAAGCCACCCCCCGACAAGTGTACACCTACGGCAGATTCCTACATCCACGCAGCCTGGATTTGGAGAAGGGCCATTCCGCAAGGGCAAGACTTAGGCAGCACATACTTCCCACACCCAAAGTTGCCGGTGCATGAAAGGCCGCCGAGAAGGTGGGAACAGGCTCATTTGGACTTAGCCATCCATTCAATGGGAAGAGCCGCGTGCGGAAGGACCGAAAAACCTATGGACCTGGAATGAAGGATCGTCCACGTGAGCTCCACGCATGTTCCCGTTGTAGGTGAAGCCTCTAGCCTTGGCGAGTGTTTCTTGCGCGGGGTGATGTTTCAAGAAGCCTTGCCGGGCTACCCCGGGGGAACCCTGAGCAAGACAATCTTTTGGCCGTTGGGCATCCTGATGTTGTTGAGTTTTCTAGTCGCAAGTCTTTCGGTGCTATATCATCCGAAGGAAAGCCACTGGTTCGGGATTCTCGGGGGTCCGTGTTTCATTGAACCCGCATGTTCGCCAGACCGAGCAGCAAGACACCCCGCAGAAGCAGGAGCTGGTCAACCAGGATCGCCAGGGTCGGGCAGGTCGATCGTTAAGCAAAAGTTCGGCTTTTTGAAGTGGGTTTGGATTTGGGATCTCCATCCTCCAAACAATTACGAGGGAGAAGGTGCCTCCTTGTTTGCATGTCCCATGGCTTCGCTTCGTGGGCAGGGGTTGGGATGATACCACAGGAAGCGCCCCTTCAAGCCAAGCCCAAAGAAGCTGCGATTACGTGCTTGCAACCCAAAGTCCGGGGTGAGCAGTGGGAAACCCTTTTGACTCGAAGCGATCACCTGCGCGGGTGGTCAAACTATGCGAAAGCCTGCCACGGACATCGGGACACGGGTTCAGGCGTCCATGTTCTAAATGCCTTGGTAGAACTGCACATGTTTAGGGAATGCCCGGCTGCATTGGACATTGTCCTACGGCGGGGAAAAGGTTGGCCTTCATGCATGCTTGCTGGACTGGTTTTGGCCAAACTACTGAGGAATTGACTTGAACTTGAACATAGAAAGGGGCAACGGTCTAAACAACCCAATGGTCAATTTTGCTTCCCCTTCCGTTCTGTGCGATTGCCACATGCAAGGGCAAGGGTCACAAGGCACTCACTGGTGCTGGCTTAAGTTGACAATCAACTTCTGGAGAGCTGCTTGAGACGTCAGGGTTTGGGGGGATCCGGAGAAAGTTATGTGAGATGTGGGTTACTTTGTCTTGCTGGAATCTTAGGTTTGATTCCTGCTGGTTCCTGATCAATGTGGAATCCTTGCTGATATACAAACTGAAGTTCATCTACTTGTGGGTTAATATAAGGGATGGACACCATATTCATGGAACCACCCTTAGCCAGGCACTCGCTCACAACTCGCCAGGTGAAAGGCATTCAGAAGAGCAGCCCTGAATGCAAGCAGATGCGGAAGACTCAGGTCACGAGCACATGGGATACAGACCTCTACGCCACCCGCCCTTTCATGCGCTTGCCTGGTTGCACAAAGCCAGCGAAAGCAAACTGAGCTCATTCTGGTTTGGGGTGTTGGCCCCGGATTTTCGAGGGACTTCTGCTGTCGATCCCTGGCTCATCCCCAGGACACCTAGTCAGCATCAATCCAGGGCTTGGTGGTTTTCGGTTGCAAGGCCAGCTGTTTTATTGGGACGTTCCGAGCCGTCCGGTCTTTTGAGCGTGCCTGGCAATAGAAGACGCTCAAAAGAATCAGCATATGAACAGGCCCACCGAACCGGCTCCTCTTTTTTTGGGGGGGGACAGCTGTTGAGTTTTTGCTTGTGGTGACTAGGATCTCGATCGAGAGAGTCGATCCGGCTTGGATCGGTGGTTCAGTGGGGTTTTGCTCTGATCTTCAGGGATGGAACCACTGTCGATGAAGTCCTCGGGTCATGCCCATTCCAGCCCTCTCCAGATAAGGTTCCTGCCATCTATTGAGCACACAGCAAGGAGCGCTTGCGAGGCATTCGCGGACTGGAGAGGGGCTGTTCACAAAAGGGCTCCTGCCATTGGTGACCCTTTTGTGCCCACCTGTCTAAACCGATTGAAAGGCCGAAAAAGCTCGGAACCTTTTCTTTCCAAGCGCACCTGGCGTGGCCATTGAATTCTTGCCATAGGCTCAGGTGTAGTGATTTTACACCTTCCTTCTTCAGCACGCCATGACGGCCGCTGTCGCGCCACCCGGTAGCGTGGGCATCCAGAGCTACTATGACGCCCGACAACCAAACCGGGCTAGGCATAGGCGTCGCGGGAATTGTTTTTGTTTTTGTTTTTGTCTTTCGGAAACATGAAACGGAGGAGGATGGGCGCAAGATGGAGGGGTCCAGGGTGGGAGGGGACCCCTCACCGCCTCCATTTGCAAAAAGGCGCCCTGTGTCGCGCTTCGCCCATTAGGGGGTCCATTCCTCTTCTGAAGGATCAAACACTGCAGGTTTAATGGCCATTTGAACTGGTTTTTTTATGCAGCGAAAGCAAGCCGCATGCAGTTTCCAGATGTGGGGGGGGAGGGGAATGTGAAAACGTTGGCCCAAGGACACCAAAATCCAGGAGCTGAGCTCGATCATCAAGGAAAGACGCTTGGCTTTCTCCAAGCCTTGGCCCTTTTTTGGTCGCCTGAAAAGGCGAATCTTCGATTCGTTTCGCTTTAAAGTGGACCCCGTATCAATCAACCCCTGTGAAGAAATATGGGGGTGTCCCTGGGTTTAGTGGGGATTCATCACTGTTGGAGGGGCCCCTCGGCACGCGCCTGATGTCAAAACCGGGCGATGCCAGGATCTGGCTGCCTTTCAAGGCTGATGGCATGCGCCAACACTTCGATTGATTCCACTGGGGTCAACATTTGAGGGGTCCATCACTCGGGTTACACAAGCAAAGTACCAACCAAATTGTCAGTCAGCATGTCAGAACGGCTAAGCCATGTTGTTTGGAGGGTGGACCCTATAGGCACGTCTTGATATTAGATGTGGCAGCTTGGTTCAAAGGGGGATGTTCAAGCGCATATGTGCCAAGCAAGTAGAATGCACTTCTACTTGGGTCCTCTATTTGACGGTCACCGACGTGCCCCGGGCTAGGTGCCGCTGACACACGTGTAGTTGTGCTTGTGTTTGTTTGTTTTGTTTGTGTTTGTGATGTTTGTATGCAGAAGAAAGAACTATCACTCACACGTACATACTTATATGAATACATACATAATCATACATACATGGACACATGCATAGATGCATGCATGCATACATACGTACAAAACGCTGTATACATGTTATTATTTGGTGCATGCAAATGAGGAGCATAGGGTCTTGCGATTAACACCAGCGTCTCTGAATATGTTCACACATGAGTACGTACCTACATACAAACCTACATACATACATCCAGGCATACATACATACATCCATGCATACATCCATCCATCCATCCATACATCCATCCATACATACATACATACATACTCTGAATGTGTTCATACATACATACATACATACATACATACATATTATACACACGCACACAGGCTGTACACGTGTTGTATGGCTCATACGAATAACGAGTGTAGGGTCTTGCGATGAAGACCAGCGTGTCTGAATGTGCTCATGCATACATACATACATGCATGCATACATACAAACATACTTAGATCCATGCATACATCCATCCATCCATCCATCCATCCATGCATACAGACATACATACATGCATACACACATGCATACATAAATACGTACATACATCCATGCATACATACATACATACATATTATACTCACACGCTGTACACGAGTTGTATGGCTCATACGAAAAAGGAGTGTGGGGTCTTGCGATTAAGACCAGCGTCTCTGAGTGTGTTCATACATACATACATGCATACCTACATAAATACATACATCCATGCATACATACATACATGCATACATCCATACATGCCTACATACGTACATGCCTACATACATACATGCATGCATACATACATACATATTACACACACGCACGCTGTACACGAGTTGTACGGCTCATACGAATAAGGAGTGTAGGGTCTTGCGAGTAAGACCAGCGTCTCTGAATGTGTTTATACATTAAAAAATATCTACATACCTACATAAATTCATACATCCATGCATACATACATCCATGCATCCATGCATACATGCATGCATTCATACATACATATTATACACACACGCTGTACTCGAGTTGCATGGCTCATACGAATAAGGAGTGTAGGGTCTTGCGAGTAAGACCAGCGTCTCTGAATGTGTTCATACAAGCAAAAATATCTACATACCTACATAAATACATACATCCATGCATACATACATATTATACACACACGCTGTACTCAAGTTGCATGGCTCATACGAATAAGGAGTGTAGGGTCTTGCGAGGAAGACCAGCGTCTCTGAGTGTGTTCATACATGCAAAAATATCTACATACCTACATAAATGCATACATCCATGCATACATACATACATACATGCATCCATGCATGCATGCATACAAGCATGCATACATACATACATATTATACACACACGCTGTACTCGAGTTGCATGGCTCATACGAACAAGGAGTGTAGGGTCTTGCGAGTAAGACCAGCGTCTCTGAATGTGTTCATACATGCAAAAATATCTACATACCTACATAAATACATACATCTATGCATACATACATACATCCATGCATGCATGCATACATGCATGCATACATACATACATATTATACACACACGCTGTACTCGAGTTTCATGGCTCATACGAAAAAGGAGTGTAGGGTCTTGCGATCAAGGCCATAGCCTTAGATCTCCTCACCGAGGAAAGAACAACTTGAGGCGCTTAGAGGCTCAGAGGAATGAGCTGAACAGCAAGGTGCGGCAACTGCGCCGGGGCCTCGGTTCACGGCACTTGTGCCTCTCTGTTGGGTGGGTTCCGCGCTTGAAAAGAGTCAGCACAAGGCAAAAGGAGCGCCACACACACAGACAGCCGTTTGGCTAACCATTTTGATGCGCACGTTTTTTTGGATATCAACCGCTGGATTCCTTGTGCCGCTACTCGGAAGATGCAACTCACATGTGCTTGGGCAAATTTATCGGCGACCTGACCCATCATAATCGGTTCCTGCCATGGAGAGACCTTGGTTGAGATTGGTGACTTCTTGGGATCACGCTTACCTTCGCATCGCCTCTGCACAACTCCCCTTGTTCATCCGACCCCTCGAACTCTCACTTCCCAGATCAAAACGCGCGTGCTTCAGTTTGGCGAAGGTTTTTTGGAGCTTCCTTTCAAGCCGTAAATTTCCTTGTGGGGTTGAAGAGGGTGCCCCTTGGAGTCCAGACAGGGTGCTTTGAGAACTGAGTTTCAGTGCTTTTAGGGAGCAACTTTTTTCTTTCAACAATTACAAAAGTGCACAGGTGGGTGTGGAAGGCTACCATTTTCTTGAGAAGGACGGCTGCCAGCCTTTTTGAGAAGGTCTTCCATGTTGAAATATATTTAAATATGGGACCACTCCAAATCCAAAAAGGGAACCACTCCAAGTCCTGGCCGGCGGTGGAGGTCACCCAAGGTCATGGCACGGCCCCTTCCGCCGTGAGAGCTCAGCCCACAAGGCCTCCTTAGGGTCGCGTCCTTGGCTCCAGCGGGGGGAATCGAAGATGGGTGGACCCCCCCCCGTTTCTTCCATTTGCTTAAGAATATTTTTATTCCCGGAAGCATTGCGAAGGGTTCTTCTTCTAAAAGCGGCTGCCAACTTCACCTGCCAACTTCTCATGCCAACTTGTCGAGAGTTACTTCACCTGCCAACTTCTCATGCCAACTTGTCGAGAGTTACTTCACCTGCCAACTTCTCATGCCAACTTGTCGAGAGTTACTTCACCTGCCTACTTCTCATGTCAACTTTTTGAGAGTTACTTCACCTGCCAACTTCTCATGTCAACTTTTCGGCTGTTATCTCATTCTACTAAAAGCACAAGCTAATTTGTCGGGTGTTACTTCACTATCCTAAAAACACAAGCTAACTTTTCTGTTCTACCTTCACATCTCGACTCTTAATTCTTCTTCTTTTTATGGCGGGGGTAGGCCCGACGGGAGCTTACGAAACGCACCCCTCTGCGGAGATCGTGCGTGTCGAAGCGCTCTCGCTGTGGCGCCGTGCGAATTTGTCTTGAGCCCGATGAACCCTCTGCGGGGATCGTGCGTGTCGAAGCGCTCTCGCTGTGGCGCCGTGCGAATTTGTCTTGAGCGCGGCGAACCCTCTGCGGAGATCGTGCGTGTCGAAGCGCTCTCGCTGTGGCGCCGTGCGAATTTGTCTTGACCTTGGCGAACCCTCTGCGGAGATCGTGCGTGTCGAAGCGCTCTCGCTGTGGCGCCGTGCGAATTTGTCTTGACCTTGGCGAACCCTCTGCGGAGATCGTGCGTGTCGAAGCGC